GGGAAGAAGACTTAACAACTACAATTCCTTGAAGTTGATACGACAAGCAAACAGAAAGGACATTGTTGGGTGGGAGGGGGGAGAGGAAGGAGGGAGGGGGGTTTCAGTAATGGGCCACAATAATCCACCTCATTGTATATTGACAAAATAAAATTTAAAAAGTAATAATAATAATAGGGGTTGTGCCAACTTATTGCAAGCATTGAAGACAGTGGTAAATTCACACATAACTGATATGTACTGAGTGCTCCGGGGTGCCAGGCAAGTGCTGGCTGCTCCACACTCTGCCGCAGCTACCTTTGCCTCAAGCCCAAGGGAATGGACATTAGTACTGGCCTGTGGGTTTGGAACTGAGGTGTGGGGAGGTAAGTGTCTTGTCGAAGTGCTCAGAGCCACCACCCCACTCTAAGCCTGCTGTTCCCTCACCACGTCTTCCATGCAGTGATTCCAGATCACTGAGGGCAGATTCCAGATCTACAGCAGGCTGACCCAGACTCCACAGCAGAGGCCTCTTCCCAGAGCCCTTCCCTGCTCCCTGGGACATGTCTTCCCTTCCTGGACCACTGGACAGGCCTTTCTAGCCTGCTGGGTCCAGTCAGGAAGTGGAAACCACACAGTAGGCCAACGAGGGGACATTCAGTATAAAAAGCTATTGTCTATGAGAAAAGAGTAACTATAAGATCTACAGAAACTCTGTATGGTTCTCTGGGGCTAAAGGAGTGTACGCAAGAAAGGACGAGCCCTGGAGAAGGTATGCTTCAGCCCACAGGACACAGGGCTGGTCACCGTTTGGCCAGGCTGGAGCCATCCAGAGTTGCTGGGCAAGCAGGAGGCCACCCTCTGATGCAGGTGCAGAGCAGGCAGTCAGCTCCCAGAGGCAAGGTGTGCCGTGAGGTCTGGGTGCAGCTTCCGTATAGGGAGGGCTGTAGGAAGGTAATCTCCAGGCCAAGACTGCAAGGTGGCAGAGGGAAGGCATTCTGGGCCATGGCTGGGCGGCCTCTGCTGGATGTCTTCACTCCCACCTCTGACCCAGGCCTGCAGAAGAGCCCATGCTTCCTCAGTGCCCCTCAGCACCCTCCACTGCCACAGCTTGGCACCATGAGTGATTGACTAGAGACGCGGGTGAAGGAACGCAGCCTGCTGCAGAGCAGATACTGATGGGGCAGTGAAATGACAACCGCCGCACAGAGCCACCTGCAGAACATCCACCACCTGCCCTGCCACTAGGAAAAACCTCTCTTTCTGCAGAGACTGTACTTTGATGGCATCCCTGTCATTGCCAGGCCACAGTGCAGCCCACAGCACTGTGCATGGTGGCCTCCCTGCTGGGCCACTCTGCCTCTCCCCTTTTCTGTCACCTGCCACATAGTAAGTTCTCAAGCAATATTTGCTGCCTGGACTCACCTTGCGACAGTCAGGGCCACAGCCCATTGGTGAGAGTGAAAGGCAACACCGTGGGGAAACAGACAGATTCTGTTATACCTGGCCTACCCATCTTGTTCTATTTCAAAAGATCCCATTTCTAGAAACTTGAAGGGTCAGAAAATCTGAGTCTCTGCTAGTATTTGTTGGACTCTCTGTTAGTTGCTGTTGTAAGGCTGATGCCTAAGGCATTTTAAATCTTTCAAACCCAAGACTTAAGGAGCCAGCAAATACCCTTTCCTAGGCTGACAGACCCAGGCACAGAGCAGGACTTCCTTGAATGTCTCTCCTTTGTAATCTAACTGATGATATGTAATTTGGATACAGACATCACTTTCTTTTCCCTTTTAAAGTTCACGTTGGATTATAGCAAATCTTTGAGTGCAAGGGTAGTGCTTATCTATCAGAGGCAGATCTGTGAAGACCATATCCAGGGCATCTTCTCCGACATGTACAGTCAGTTTTTCTCACTGCCTTTTAACTAGAGCTGTCAGTCTGCCATTGACCCATGTCCCTCAAGCCTGCATGTTTCAGCTGTCACCTGCCTCCTTCATACTGCTTGGACAGGGGTCCCATTCAGGTGCCCTCACCCAGGGTTGTGCCAGTCTTGGTGCTGGAGGACTCAGACCTAGAAATCAGGACACGAGGTTCAGAAAATAGTATTTCAACCTCACAGGCTGGGAATTCAGTCTTTCCACTCTCCCCGCCCCTAAGGTCACTCTTTACCAAGTCCTGGCAAGTCTTGTTCTTTTCTCTCCACATGTGTTGCCCTGGCCTGGATTACCGAGCACAGCCCCTCTCCTATGGTGCAGGCTGCCTCTAACAGCCGTGAGAACCACACTTTCCTCTGGGACCTTCAGGGTCCTCTGCAGTCTGGCCCCTGTGTCCCTCTCCAGCCTTGGCCTCCTCCTCAACCTCACCTGACGGCCTCGTCAGCCCAGGCCAGGACTTCTCCAGCCCTCATATGCCAGGGCAGCCTCTGGGCGGGGCCCAGTGTCATGCCCAGGTGGGCACTCCCACCTCCTGGGGCTGGCATTTTACACTTCTGTGGTGCTGTTATATTTAACATTACTGATCTTACTCAGTAATGGCTTCTTGTGTACCCTGTATTTTTCTAAGTACACCATTGAAAGCTCACAAGCAGGGACTGTGCCCTAAGCTTATCTGCCTCCCCTTCAGCACACAGTAGGCACATGATAGACACTATTCAGTGGCTGGTGGGAAAGCTGAGGCCTGAATGGGCAGAATGACTTCCCATAACAGGGCCACATTAGGTGACCTGTTGTGGGGTGCCAGAGAAGACACACAAGCTGCCTTCAAGGACAGTGCCTCCAATGCGAAGGATTTGTGGGCAGACTTAGTAGAGTTTCTGCAAATACATGCTGCCCATGGGTGTTTCCTCTAAGCAGGTTACACCTCTTACCTTGCCCAGCACTCCTTGGTTCGCCTTTGTTCACACATATAGCTGCTGTCATAACCAGGGACCTGTCCATGAGTGACATATGTCACAGGGAAGTCAGCGGCATGGGATGACATCTGACAGAGACTGACTGGGGTTGGGGCCTGGGCAGCAGGAGCCCAGGGAGGACCTGCAGGGCTGGGGCTGGCGTCTCATCACAACAGTGCCTGGTGACTTAGGAACAGCCAAGGGTGGTTCCAATTTTGCACATGGCGGGTGGCCCAAGCCCCCACGTTGCCCACGTTTTGGGCAGCACGGCTGTCACTGAGTAGCGGGCAGTTGTCAGTCACAGCTGCTGACTCCACCACTGAGGTCAGGGTGCCAAAAGCTGTGCTGCCGTGGCCTGGCTTCCATGCTCAACGGCATGCTCTCACAGCATGGTGGCTGCCCTCCAGAGCGGTGGTGCCTAGAGCCCTCCCCACCTCCCTGTGCTAACCGAGAACTTATTACAGACAGCATCGGGGCCACTGTGGGGGTCACAGTTCCACTTCTTCCTTCCTGATTGTACAGCGATTTCATTGACCCCTTCCTGGGAAATAGCTCTTAAAGCACACAAAAAGCAAATTGGCCTAATAATTTTTATTATTGCTTTCTTTAGATGCAGCTAGAATTTTTTTAAAAAAAGAAAGAAAGAAAGAAAAAGTCCTGGGGGTTTGTAGAGACTGAGTGGCCAGGCACATGTCACTTTGGGTTAGCTGAGTGCTTCTGCCACCCTCAGCCGTGCCCATGGCAGCATGGTGGCGGGTCAGGCGAGCACACTTGCTTCCCCAGACACAGTGCCTGGTGGGCGCCGCTGTCAGCAGGCGGTGCGGGCCGGGGATCCCCGGGCCCCTGCAGAGCTGGCCCGCCCGGCTGCAGCAGCCACAGCTTCATCTCTTTGTTCTTGCTCAGCCTGTGGCGGGTCCAGTTTTCACAGTATTGCCTCCTCATCTTACTAAGGTTTGTAGGGCCTCAGTCTCCGTCAGCAGTCCATGGAGAACGGGAATGAGTGGGTGTCTGTCTTCTGTGCTCCCGGTGCCCCATCCCTCGTGTCCTCATGCCAGGCCTTTCAGAAGGGTGGGTGTCACATCAGTGCATTGGATCCTCTTGTGTCCCCAGAGGGAACAAGTGGGGATAGCACCTCCAGAGCCTGGGGCTGAAGGTCACAGGGGGTCCTGGAGCCAGGCCCCTCCCCTTCTCCTCCAAGGGCTGTCCTCGTATAGGGTTCCCAAACCTCTGAGTTTCTAGCTTCTTGTCCATTGAGATGGAAAACCCATCCCGCTCCAGTCAAAGCCTTGCTGCCTGTTTTGAGAGGAGTCATTCCTACATTGTTCTAGGGTCCCTGTACCCACATAGCATTCGCTGCCCCTGGCCCTTTGTGATATGCCAGGACTCACAGAGCTCCTTCTGGGACAACTGCCCTTTCATTCCCTGCCTGCTGTGGAAACATCTGGATCTACTTGAGCCTGCCCTTGTCTCTGTGGGCTACCCCCCTTCCTGACTGGTGACCACCGTCTCCCACCCCACCCAAGGTCACCTATGGACTTCAACACTGTCCTTTAACCTTCTCCTCGGGGCCTGTGAGGCAGATGGAAGCCCCCATGGGGACAGCCCCAGCCAGTGTGACGCTCCTGTGGGGGCAGCACCCCAGCTTATCACCCATGTTACCCATCCACCCTCAGTCCTTGCCTGGACATTCTGCGTCTTTCAGTCCATTGCTCGGGTTGTCCTGCTACCTGGGCCCTGTGTCAGTCTCCATGCTTGCTCTGCAGGGCCTGATGCACTCCAGTGGCCCCGTGGGCCGGCACCGGCAGCTGGTCCTGGTTCTGGAGGGGGAGCTCTACCTCATCCCCTTCGCCCTTCTGAAGGGCAGCTCCTCCAACGAGTACCTGTATGAGCGCTTCGCCCTCATCGCCGTGCCCTCCATCCGCTCCCTCGGCCCGCACTCCAAGGTAATGCTCAGGGCACACAGGGGTGCCTTGCTCTCAGGGTCTTGAGGCACAGCCTCTCTGACCAGACTGGGCCATGTCACTAAGGCATAGGCTGAGATTTCCTCAAAAGTGTTGATTTTATGGATCGCGTCCAGGTAGGGTGACTTTCAAGTAGATCTGTCCAAAGGTGGGGGATGGCCCTCATGACCCCTAGCTCTTCTTTGCTGCCTCAGGAAGCCATGGTTTGTGTTATTTCTAAGTTTGCTGTGACATCAAGGTTGTGAGCTGCTTGGAGGCACAAAGCCAGGCTTGAGGCCAGGCCGTGTATCTGAGGGAGCTGGTCACCCGCTCTTCATGCACAACACCCTGTGAGGCCCAGCAGACACCACAGTCACCCCGGCCCCCAAACCGACCACTGGCTGGGTACCAAGTGTGCTGCCCAGTGGAAGGGCCCCAGGCAGGGATAGCAGACAAGTAAGAGTAGTGTCAAGTGGGAAAGAGCCCAACAGGCCAACAAAGGAACTGAAAACAGTAGGCAGCTCTCAGGGGACGGGCAGGGACTCAGGTATCATTTAGCAAGAAAAATCAGTATAGGAAGAAATGTCAGCAAAATCAAGAGGGCAACAGCAGGCCATCCACAGAGTCACAGACCTCACCCCACAGCCACCCTTGGCCCCGCCTACCTGAGTAGAGAGACTTTGGAGAACACCCTGAATTCTCCTTCCCCTTCTCCAAACTCTCTCAGAAACCCCAAGGTAACCCCAAGGGCTTCCTTTTGACCCCTCACTGCCCCCAAGGGTCCCCACCCACCTGCACTCCTCTTGCAGCATTCTCCCTGCCCCAGCTGCAGGACTGTCATTACCACTAGGACTGGCTCTGTCTTCAGACGTGAAAACACTCCCACACTGCCAGCTGCTCTCAGAGCCCTAGACCGCTGTTTCCAATCCTCCCGTGCTGGCCGGGCAGGCCGCAGTCAGACGGGCCTCCTCCTCGTGGTAGAGAGTATGGGCAGGCTTAAGGAACGAAGGCCCCAGGCCCGGTGCTTAGGAGGCCCCTGCAGAACCTGTCTTGGCCTCTTGGTTGACCGTGGTCATGTCATTGTTCAGATAGGGTCAGTTTCAGTCTCACAAGTTTTGGAAATCCTAAATTTTACTGTTTTTGTTGCTGAATCATACTTTTCTCATAAGACAGAATTGGTTTAAAGTGAAAGAAACTATTTTCTCTGGGTTTCTCTGAGTAGCACTGTGGGTATCAGATATTGCCAGCCTTCAGAAAGCTTTAATTTTGATGACAACAGTAAGCTAGTTGTTTGCCAGCTTAACCAGGGATTTGGAAGCACCCTGTCTCTTAACAGGCAATTAGTTTAAGGCATCACCAAGCAGAGGCATCACAAAATTATTTTGAAATAATTTGATACTTGATATTTCCTCAAAAGTATCAAAAGTCATCATGGGGGAAATCATAATTTTGTTGGGCTTCCTCACGCAGATTTTATAATTCCGTGATGTTTTTTATTTTGCATTGTATAAAGTGGAAGGGAACTATGATCTTTCCATTACACAGAATGGGCCCTACCTCCCCTGAGATTGACTCACCTTTTTGCACAACTTAAAAAAGTGACTTATCAAAGCCCCTGACTCATCAGGAGTGGGTTTTCCTCTTATTTATGGGCAACACATAGAGGTCCGTGGGAGCAAGAGCTGTGGGCAGGCTGGCCGTCCCGGGCTCCGCAGCCTCTGCACGTCTGTGACATCAGTGCCTCTTCCCCCAGCCCTCCTAGGATTTGACAAACAGGAAGTATCCCTACTACTGTCCAATCCTGGTTATTTGCAAGAGCTCATCAGAGCGGGTGTGATTCTTAGTTAGTCACCTGTGTCAAAAAGATGTTGAGAAATGAATGAATGAGGTTATTGGGGAAACAGGTGCCCCTGAGATGCTGAGGAGTCACCTGGCCATTCTGTCTGATGGGTGGTCTGCTTGTGCCCCCTCCCCTCCTAGCCTCATCTGAGGAAGAATCCACCTGCGTACTCCAGTTCCACATCCATGGCGGCTGTCATCGGTAACCCCAAGCTCCCATCAGCTGTGATGGACAGGTGGCTGTGGGGGCCAATGCCGTCGGCCGAGGAGGAAGCCTACATGGTGTCGGAGCTGCTGGGCTGCCAGCCGCTGGTGGGCAGTGTGGCCACCAAGGAGAGGGTCATGAGTGCCCTGACCCAGGCTGAGTGTGTCCACTTTGCCACCCACATCTCCTGGAAACTGTCAGCCTTGGTCCTTACACCCAGCATGGATGGCAACCCTGCCAGCAGCAAGAGCTCCTTTGGCCACCCCTACACGATCCCTGAGTCCCTGCAGGTGCAGGATGATACCAGTGACGGGGAGAGCATCTCAGACTGCCCACCCCTGCAGGAGTTGCTGCTCACGGCTGCCGATGTCCTGGACCTGCGATTGCCCGTGAAGCTGGTAGTGCTCGGCTCTTCCCAGGAGTCCAACAGCAAAGTCACAGCTGACGGGGTCATCGCGCTGACTCGGGCCTTCCTGGCTGCTGGAGCACAGTGTGTCCTTGTGTCTCTGTGGCCTGTGCCAGTGGCTGCTTCCAAGATGTTTATCCATGCCTTCTACTCATCCCTGCTGAACGGCCTGAAAGCCAGCGCTGCCCTGGGGGAAGCCATGAAGGCGGTGCAGAGCAGCAAGGCCTTCGCACACCCTTCCAACTGGGCAGGTAGGGCATGGCCACCAGCTGTTGCTCGGGTCAGTCCTCACAGCCCAGACTTTATTCTGCAGATGAGGTGGGAGGGCAGGGCAGCCGTGAGAGATTCAGGGAGAGAGCCTCGTGTGCTAGACCCTTACCTTCTGCCCCATGAGTTTTTCCCTCTATGGTACTGAAATCACCTTTTGGACCAGGGTGCAGCAGAACAGTTTATAATCAGCGTGTGAATGTAAAATTCCTGCTGGTGTTAGTGTGGACCAGATGGCCTACTTTATAACACCCTCATTTAAAACCCTGTGACTATAGAAAAAAGGTGTGTGGTAGAAAGACCCTAGATTTGGTCCTGGGAAGATGTAGGACTGATCCAGCTCCATGTCCTAGCCGTGTGACCTGAGACAGGTTATGTACACTCTGAAGCCCAGTGTCCTCAATGATAGCAAGGGATGACAGTGGTGGTGCTGGTGATACCACCCCGTCCACATTGGAGAGAACCTGTAAGAAATGGACGGAGCGTCTTGTGAAGTGTGAGGTGCTACGCTTTCTGGAAGACCAACAGTGCATGCTCTCCATAGGCCTGCTGCAGGGGCACAAAGCGTCTGGGGAATGAAAGGAGAATGTTCTGTGACATCTGCTCACACACAGGAGGGGTGGGAAGGGAGGTGCCCAGCCTGTGTCAGCTTTGTGCGATAACCTGCTTCCCCGAGGTCCTCATGGGAAGTGTGCCTGCAGCAGCCACCCAGAGGGCTCGGCCTCGCAGGGACCCTCTCTGCCAGACCGGGACTCAGTGCACACCCAGCCTGGGCTTGTGCTGCACTGGCCTCTCGCCCAGCTGGGGCTCTTTTTCCTGACACACTTCAGGAATGTCAGGTCTGTGATGTTTTCTCAAAATTGGGCCTGCAACTCCCCAGGGTGCTCTAGAGCAAAAGTCCCACCAATGGGTGACGATGGTCCTGGCCCATGAAACAGGGTGTCAGAGAGTGTCTTAAACGAGAGACTGAGGAACACCAAAGATACTATTTTCTTTTTTTTTTTTTTTCCTTTTTTTGTCTTTTTTACTAACCGGTAACTGGATCGCAACCCTCGGTGTCGCGCCCATACCAGGGACCGGCAACGGGATCGCAACCCTCGGTGTTGTGCCCGCACCGCGCTCAGCCAGTGAGCGGGAACCGGTCTCCACATGGCATCTGAACCCTCGGCGGGAGCGCCGCCGCACTCCCAAGCAGCACACTCTCCAGTGCGCCACCGGGCCGGCCCAAAGATACTATTTTCAAACATTTACAGTTTATTGTTCAGCAGAGCTATACCATCCATGGATCTATTTAAAGACTGGGAAGAAAATGGCTTTCATCTTAATCTTCCTCTTAAAATAAATCCAGTCAACATGTTCAGCTATTGCTGGTGTCATTTTTCAAAGGTGGGTAAGCCCTGAAATGGAGCCATGGCAGTACCCGGCCCAGTCAGCCAGCAAATGATGGGCTGCAGGGGCCAGCCCTGGTGTCTACCCCAGGTGTTCTGGCTGTGCTGTGGTGAGTGTGTTCAGGTGCCAGGTAGATGAGCCAGGTTGTTGAGAAATGGAAACATTTTGTTTACTTCACAAACGCAACACAGCTATAGTACTTTTCAAAAAGCTATTCAAAAAACAAAATAGAATCTCCTGTTTCCTCGTGTGGCTGAAGAGAAACATTCAGTTGATCCAATAGGCATGTGATCTGCCTACTTTTTGGTTGTCCATCACCTCCCAGCTGTCTCCTGGTTCTGCAGGTAAAGAGTGGGCAGGCACATGGGGCTCTGGCCTGGCCATGTTGCTATGCTGTGTCTGCTCCCAGGAGATGCAGAAATCAAGGTGATCCATTATTCTCTTTTATATGTGCTTCTGGCAGTCAGGTGGGGCTTTGAGCCCCACAGAGCACACAGAATGTACTGCAGGGTTTGTAGGAACCTGATCCCTCTGCCTGGCCATTTATTCCTAAAACGGCCCCCTACTCCTCTGTCTAGATCTTCCTAATGCATTTTCAAACATAGCAGGTCAGTCCTGAAGTTGCTCGGTGGCTTGAGGAAACTGCTCTCTAGGCCTTGCTTAGGGAAGGGAGTGCTGAGAAAGGAGCCGGGGCTCGATGGGGTGGGTCAGGGTGGTGCCCCTTGGAACTGTTGGTCCTACACAGCCCAGGCTCAGTTTGCTCCCTTCTAGAACTGGAGGAGTCTCCGCTGCCTGCTGGTCCCAAGGAGGTGATAAGCATACCTGCCCCCACTCCCAGGTGTGCTATCTCCCTCAGGGCCAGGGACACACAGACACAGATGAATTTCAGAGAAAACCAGGCAAGCCATTCCTTGGGATGGTAGCCAAGCCAGGTAAGGGCCCTGGGACTCGCCACTGGGGCTGGGCCTTGGAAATCACATGGCCTTTTCCCACCATCACTCACACTGCAGTGGGAAGGTGGAGGACGCATTCCCTGAGCTCCTGTCACTATGGGACAGCTCTCCACTGACCTGAACAGCTACACAACATTAAAAGGAGAGGGACAAAAGGGCACCACACCACCATGCAGTGATTCAGATGCCTCACAGTCCAGCCCCTCCAGCAGCTTTCCTGCCCAGGCCCTGCTCATTCTGCCGGCTTCATCGTGAGGCATAAGTGAACCCTAGAGGCCAGTGGGGGTGGGCTGGGGGTCTTTAGCTACCCCATTGAGGTGCCCTCCCATGCTCTCCACAGGGTTCATGCTCATCGGGAGTGATGTTAAGCTGAACAGTCCCTCTTCGCTCATCGGCCAGGCCCTCACGGAGATCCTGCAGCACCCGGAGCGCGTGCGGGATGCCCTGCGAGTGCTGCTGCACCTGGTAAGGGGCCTGGTGGTAACCCGCCTCAGGCTGCACCTGGAGCAAGTCACCAGCCAGAGCTGGCCTGATCTTCAGGAGAAGGCAAGGGGCTGAAGGGACGGTGAGCAGGTGGAGAGGACATCATGACTGGGCGTTACTGCCAGCCCTGAGAGTGTCTCTGAGACAGCACCAATTGGCTTCTGCAGACATCCACAGGAAGAGCCCGCTGGTCTGAGGGGTGGGGTTAATGCCAGCCCTGAGAGTGTATCTGAGACAGCACCAATTGGCTTCTGCAGACATCCACAGGAAGAGCCCGCTGGTCTGAGGGGTGGGCACTGTGTGCATTATCACACGGATGGCTGCAGCCGAGGACAGCAACTCACACCCTAGCTACTTCAGGCCATGTGGCTTTGGGCAAGTTACTTTGGCTCTCTGAGCCTCAATTTCCTCATTTGGAAGGGGGTGATAAAATTTTAGCAGTTCAAGGTTATTGTGAGGATTAGAGAAAATGTGAGTACCTGGCACACAGTTGGGTCCCAGTAGCTGAGAGATGTTATTATTTTATAATCAGATGACAACTGTCTTCCCTAAACTCAGTTGGAAGCAGTTCAGTCTGACCATGCCCATAGCCAGCCCACCCCAACATTTGTGGGGCCCAGGCAAGAGTATGAATGGCGGCCCCACCTCATCATCCAACACTGAAATGTCATAAATTAAGTCAAAAAAGGGTGACATATCCCCATACCGCCACCTGCCAAAAAAAACCCCCCAAAACTGAAATAGTGACATAAAACTTGTTCCATCCTTTTACCTTGCTACCAACCTGGAAGGCAGATTCAAATAATTTAGAACTCTTAGCCTCTTTAGAGTTTTGTGCCAGAAAGACCAGCCCTGGCCCACCCCATCTCTTCCTGGTCCAGTCCCAGTGGGTGGACAGTCATGCCACATCCAAGTGCTTTCCAACATCATGCAAACAGCTGCCGCATGGCCCCCTCACAGGCCTGAACAGTGCCTTCCAGACCCCTGATGCCTGGGCCTGGGTTTGGTGGTTTTTGATGCGTTTCTGATGAGAGATAAGTCATGCACATTTTGTAATCTTAGGGTCTGCCTGAAGGTTTTCTCAGGTCTAAAATTAATCAGTGTGTGAACAGGTGAGCACACTGTGACCTGAGAAGCACTCAGGCCAGGTTTGAGGTAGTTCACATGCCCTGAGAGTGCCGGGAGACTGTCTACACTGATGTCATCCTGGTCTGGAAACTGCACAGAGCCTTTCAGTTGCTCTGCACTAGGACCCCTCTCAGGTCCCTGTCACCCCCAAAATCCCTCCTTCCTTCCTTGCTACCATCCCCAGACTGCTTTTTTGGGTAAGGAACTAAAATAGTGACATAAAACTCGTTCCATCCTTTTACCTTGCTACCAACCTGGAAGGCAGATTCAAATAATTTAGAACTCTTAGCCTCTTTAGAGTTCTGTGCCAGAAAGACCAGCCCTGGCCCACCCCATCTCTTCCTGGTCCAGTCCCAGTGGGTGGACTTCTGACCCAGGCGATCGGCTCCAGCAGTGCAGCAGCACCATCCAGTCCCTGCTAGGTGAGCCGTGGGCACAGAATCTGTGCCAGCAGGCCTGGGGCAGAGCTGAGGCAACTGAGGGACTGGTTAACAGTGGGAGCAGAATAACACCCCCCCAAAAAAAACCCCTGTCTTCATGAGGACATTGGGTCTCATAGCTAGGAAAGAGCCAGAGGGTGTCCTGAGAAATGACGAGGAGTTCCAGGCACAGCTTCCCCTCCTGACCTGTGTGTAATAGCAAGGCATCTGTGCTGAGCAGGTGCTGCCCGGCCCTGCCCCTTCCCAGGATGGCATGAGGTAGTGCTGGGCAAAACTCAGCTGCTGTTGATAGTGCCATTGACAGCTGTGGATCTGACCAAACCACATGGCCAACCCCAGGTTGAAGCTGGGGACACATGCCCAGGCTGCCTTTTGTGTTCCTCTCAGAGGGAGTGATTCTGCCTGAGCCCCTGAGGCGAGACCTGGGAATGCGACTGCACCTGGAGGACTGCAGCAGGGTCAGGACTCGCCCTGGCCTCCACCTGCCTTCCTTGGAGACCACACTCTTCTTGTCCAAGTCATACTCGAATGCACATGTCTGGCCATGCTACACTTTTGGAAAATGTCACCAATGCAGAGCGTTTCAGGCTTTTTCTCCTGGCAAGATGATAGGATTGTGGGTGCAGAGGCACCTCTGAATAACCTCCACTCTCTTTTTCTTGGGTTAGGTCTTCCCAACCCTGCCCTCCAAGCCCTCTGCAAACTCATTACTGCATCAGAGACGGGCGAGCAGCTCATCAGCCGGGTAAGTTGAGCCCGGATGGCTGAGCCCAGTCCTGAGGGCTGTGCTGAAATGGAAAGACAGAGTGATCTGGCCCAAAATAAGAACCTGCATGTCATTGCTTTTTCCAGCCTTTGTGATTAAAAGGAAAAGGTGAGGGCTGGGAGTAAGAGAACAGCCCTCCTGGCACGTGCTGGGCATGGAAGGGCAAGTTCTTGTAGCGACCTCTTGGGACACTGAGCCCTAAGAACATTGAGAGCCTTCACCTCTGGGGCCCCTGTCACCTGTAGTCTCAGAGAATTTCCTGAACCCTCCATTCAGTGGTTTCTTGCACCTTGCCATCCCCACCCCCAACTTTTCCAGCTGATTGACAAGTATTACAGCCACCTTCCTAAGCCAGGAGGGGTAGCAGGGCCACGGCTGGAAAGCTACAGTTGTTCCATCCAAAACTCATTTTCTGATCAGAGTATGTGCAACGCCAGAAAGAAAACAGTCACTGAGGCACAGCAGTGAACACAAAGCCAACAATGTGAGATGCTGCTTAGCAGTTTTTAAAGATGTGCTGTCTTTCAGGCAAATGTAGATCTAAGTCAGGAATTTGGAGGATTCTAGTTCTTGGAAGGTCTAATTCTTGTAAGCATCATGTAAGGCCCTTCCCAACTTGGCCCCAGAGCTTCTCCCTGCCCCTTGATCTTCCTGCCGGCCAGTGAGCATCTGGAACAAGCCCCAGGGTGACAGCCGGGTTTTGGGAGGGTATAACAGAAGAACCTGCACAGAGCAGGTTTTTCTGGTCATCTTGGAGTACAATAATTTGAAAAAATAATATACGTTGTCGGTTTCATTTTAAGCAGAACTGTTTCTAGGTAGAAATAAAGCTGCTCCATCTAGGACTAACCTCTGAAACTAAGTGGTGACTGGAACCTCCTATGGCCTGGGATTGGTTCCAGCCCCAGTTTTGAACGTAGAACGGCTTAGTGACCTGTCCCCTTTGTTGAGTTCTTGCTCATTTTGTAATATCTGTGTCACATCTCCTTGTTGTATAGCATCAGGGAGACACTTCCAGACATTGCATATTAAAATATCCTGAACCCAGGAGGTTTAGAAATGTGTGTTCTACAAGTAAAAGAAAGAATTACGTTACTGCATTTGCAGGACAAGGCTGAGAGTCCAAAAAAGCCAGTCGCTTCATTTCCTGCTTTTGGTGGGAGCACAGGGACTTTTTGCCTGATATGCAAAAAGACCCCAGGGAAGCATCCTGAGGCTGCCCCCGGCAGCAGACACCTGGTGGGCTTTTCCTGAGTCCCTCTAGAACGAGATATTGGTTTACAGAGTGGCCTATAAATGCCCCACCATGCCCCCTCCCTGATTGAGCCTCTACTGGTGAGGAAGGGCAGAGCCTGGCTGACCCTGTCCCAACCCCCTTGAAACTGCTCATGGCTGGCCTGAGTGTAGCTATTCATTTTCTTTTGTGTCCCCTCCTGACTCTTGCTCCTCTCCCTCCCCGTCAGTGGCGCTTCCTTTTTTTTTTTTTTTTTTTTTTTTAAAAGATGACCGGTAAGGGGATCTTAACCCTTGACTTGGTGTTGTCAGCACCACGCTCAGCCAGTGAGCGAACCGGCCATCCCTATATGGGATCCGAACCCGTGGCCTTGGTGTTATCAGCACCGCACTCTCCCGAGTGAGCCACGGGCCGGCCCAGTGGCGCTTCCTAAAGCAGTAATCAGCTCATGTTGCATAACAGCCTGTGCTTGAGTCTAAACTCTCTTCTTTCTCTCTCTTTTTCTTTCTTTTTCTTAAAATCTGCTGGCTGAAGGCTGTTAAAAATATGGTTGGAATGGTGAGTACTACTTTAAGTAGCAACT